TCGGGCCTCCTGCCCGGCCTCAGCCTCCCTGTCTGTCAGGCGCCAGGGAGGACCACAGGGTCGCGAAGCCTCGGGTGCACGCAGATGGGGATGGGGGGCTGGTGGTGCTGCGTTTGGTCCCTGCCTCCCAGCGTGAGTTGGCCCCTCCCTGGGGGGAGAGCCTGTGCATTTACCCAGGGGGATGGCCGGGGCGGAGGAGGGTCCTGGCAGGTGCCCCAGGGCCTTGGTAGACATTCAGGGACTGGATGGCCCACTGAGTCTCCTCTATCAGCGAGGTTAGCAACTGGACACTTCCTTACGCGCAGGCACCTGGACATGTCTGTGGGCTCACCTTTCCCATCTGTGAAAACTGGGGCTAATAAAACCAGTGTCCTAGAGCCATTATGAGGATTGGGAGTGGGGGTGGGGGCGGGGGAGAGATGTCCTGAAACAGACTCCTTTTCATTCCACAAACGGGGACTGAGCCCCAGGCACTGCCCCAGAGGAGGGAAGAGGCATAAGGGACTAAGGCCCTTGAAGAGAAATGGGGCTCCTGCCTGGGTGGGAGGTGGGAGACGTCCAGCACAGCTGGCATTTGCATGTCTCTCTCATCTTCAATGCCACTGCCCTCTTCCCATTTTAAGGCTGGTGTACACTGAGGCCCAGAGAGTCTGAAAGACTTACCCAAAGTCACATGGTGTCAGTGGCAGAACTGGGACCTGAACCCACTCTCTTCTGCTTCCCTGAGGGGCCCCACCAGGGTTTTGGGGTACCCACTCTGGGGCTGGGAGACCCTCTGCTCCAGCCCTGTATTCATAGCAGAGAAGCTGGAACTTGTCCTGAGTCACACAGCCACACTGAGGTGTGTCACCCCGCAAGTGGGGTTTTCAGTTCAAGGTGAGGTCCCCAGTGGGGTGCCCTCCTGGGGGGGGGGTAGGAATGGGGCCAGACACGGTCATGGGGACGCCTGGAGACTGGCCACGGGGATGGGAGCGTCTGGCGGGGTTAACCTGGGGCTCAGGGTCCCTTCTATTCTGACGCTCCAAGGACCTTCCCTGGGACCATGGGCCTTTCCCCCTCAGGGTTCTCAGGCCCCAGAATTCTCCCCGAAGCCTCTTAGCTGCCATTTTAGCCTCTTTCCCCAAGTTCAGACCTAAGCAGAGACACTTAAGTCACTGTCCTCCTGGTATCAGGCCTTGGTTAGGTGGCTCTAGTCCCTTCTCTTTGCTGTGTGGCCCCACGCTCCTTGCTCAGCCTCTCTGAGCCTCCATCTCCTGCCGACACCAGGTCTTTCATTTTGGTTTTCTGTTCCCTGAGGGGAATGCATTTTCTGTGTGCCAGACTCTGAGCTGGGTTGGGGGGTACAGATGACTCAGCTAGCCTCGCCCTCTGGCTACCCCCAGCCCAAGCTTCCAGCTGGCCTTTTGGGCCCACAAGTCGTCTCCGGGCAGAGACCCTATCAGTGCTCTGCGTTCTGCTCACAGAGCTGGTTCAGGGTTGGGCCCAGGACATGTCGGGAGAAAGCGCTGGGTTTGGAGTCGGTCAGGCTAGGCTTCATTTCTGGCTCTGCCACAAAACAGCTGTGTGAACTGGAGCACGTTTCTTGACGTCCTTGTGGAGATAATTGGAGATGGAATCCCCTGCTTAAAGGTTATCATGAGGTTCCATGAAATAGGTTGAGGGAAACATTGTGGGGGTCATTGTGAGTCAGCACAGAGCAGTGTCCTGGTGCCACGGCCGGCCTCCAGGAGTCAGTCAGCCTCTCTCTCTCTCTCTCTCTCTCTCTCTCTCACACACACACACACACACACACACACAACACACCCTCCTCTCTCACACATGCTCTCTCTTACATACTCACACACACACCCTCTCACTTGTATGCTCATGTGTGCCCCTCTCTCTATTTCTATCTCTCTCTCTCTCTCTGAGAGACAAATTTTGCTTTTCTGCGTTTGACCCTGGGAAGTCACAGATGAAGACTCAGCCCCAGCCCCGCAGGCCGGCGGGGGGGGGGGGGGGCCCCCCGGGGGGGGGGGGGGGGGGGCCTTGACCAGCCTGCAAACAGCCATCAGCCCCTCACCCAGGCTGGCCAAGCA